TGAGAGTGTACTTCTAGACGTGCTGAATTCTGTCCGTTCTCTGTTGTCCATCGCCACCAACGAGACATCTGATAAAAGATTCCTCAAGTTTAACCGCAGTTCCCCCATTGGTATTTCCCTGCCAACGTGGTTATTGAATACAGGTCATGTTTGGCTAAAATCGATGGCACAATCCTCAAAATGTAACCCCTTGGTGGAACGGCTAGAACTGCAATCCTCAGTACGCTTATATCGGTTTCCCTAATGGAATAAAGGAAAGCGTTTCTCTATGAAATCTTGCTACCAAAGCAAACGACACCGATAAATCATATTCAGACTAAGCCAGCCAACTTATTGACACTGACAACCACTCTCAGTCCTATCCCGAGACCAACTCTTCACAACTAGAAGTTGTCCATTCACAGCTCCTGTCTAACCCCCCTCCCACCAAAGTCATCTACACAGCCATATCTACAAGACAATCCGCAACAGTACATTGAAAACAAAGCGTGTTCATCCGTACAACCTGTGGAGAAGAGAGGCTTAGAAAAGAATCACCCGGGAGTCAAACGTTTCTTGTTCGGCGGAGTAGAATGTCACAAACTAACTTATTACCGCGTTTCGCATTGAACTATTTTAACTTTTCCATTTCCATACTATAATTGTTTTGGTCTTATGATATGCTTCACAGACGTTTCCCTGAGACTGTTGAATTTCGAAATAAAAAGACCACAATGTTTTAATGACTAACAATTTTATGGAAAGAAAATTCATTAAAGATCTCTTATGTGATACAAACACAAAAATTTGAACAAAAGAAGGGTTTGAACAGGGCGATAAGTAGATAAATCTGTTCACTTGGCCACTGCTGCAAAAGTAGCTGTTAATAATCTCTTAAATTATTTTATCGGTATCCATAAACCCCGAGTTGTATTTCACATCTTGGGACTCAGCGAAGGGTTTCTTATTCTTACAGCTCCTCCCTCTGTAAACCTTTTTGACTTAACTCTAAACAGTATCACCTGAGGTAAACCCCTGGTATTGTTGCTCGCTGGGGTAGCTGTCCGAATCTAGAGAAGGTAAACGAATCATCATAACCCACGAAAACAATATTCACGTCGTAGCACCAGAGGAAGTCCCAAATCCTACTGGTGTATAAATCTGGACGCACGTTGGGCGAAAGCCTGTTTTCGTCCTAAAAACCTGACCTGACCTGAAACCAGCGGAAACTACATCCAAAAGACAATAACATCATACACGACGCCACTTGCTTGCAAACTCAAATGGGCTTGTATAAATAAAAGATTCCGAGTTATTGTAGCCATTTGCTTATTTCACCGTGCGTCAGGCTTACAAGGAAATTCATTGAGAAGATATACGAATGAGCATTACCAGAATTCGGCGCAACAGATTTTGAAGTTTACGGTTCATCAAGCTCAATCGTCTTATCCAAGCAAACAAAGCAAAAATTTGGGTAGCTTATTTTCTCTCTGGAAGCAATGGAGTCTAGTTTATCTACGTTGGCAAACCAAAAATAAGAACATAAAAGCACAAATTTCTTATACACATCCTTAATAGTCAAGGTGATAATTTTTTCGATTATATAGGGGATCTTCTATTGTTTTCTCATTCCAAGAAAACCTGCTCTTCTATAATGGAACCCAGTAATCTAAACCCCGATAGTTTGAGTGGCTAACCACATAGGACCCCGTTAGGTTAGGCGTGATACTGAACCGAACGACAGCAAAGCTGCTACTACAGACTAATGTGTGATAGTAGCACCCAAACCGTGATTTGTCAAATACTACCGTATTTTGACGCAAAAAGCGCACTAGGAAAAAGTAGAATATTAGTTAGAATGTGTTGACCCACACTGAGTGCATCTAAACTCCCTAGCTTCAGGGTGATAGAGTGTAATAAATAGGGTTTCTAGTTAGTGCATGGTATTACAGAGAGGCAGTGGTTTTGGGCAAGTGTATGTTCAGCTTTCTTCTGATCACTGTGTTGATGCCGAATCTCAAAAAGATAACACGAGAGTTCCAGTGTCCACCCTTTTGTTGTTTATTATACATGCATGCCACTGAGCATTGGCCAATGATAAGAGCGAAATGGTTATTGAGTAAGCAATGTCTCCAGTTTCTCAGAGATTCGATAATGGCACAAGTTTCTTTTTCGATGACAGAATGATTTTGTTCACTGGAAGACCAGGTGCGCAAGAAAAAGGCTATTGGCCATCCGTCCTGGCTAATTGTAGCAGCTATAGTGATTTTGGATGCGTCTACCTCGACGGCCAAAGGACGGTTGTAGGAGATATGAAACATAGCGGTTTTTTGAAATTCCCTTTTCATGTTTTTCAACGCATCATGCATTTCTCTGGGTTGCGGGAAGGTCCGGTTTTTCACCAAATGTGGATTTTGTCAAAAAAATGAGGGATTCACTTGGCATAATACGCCAACATTCCGACTACTCTCCTCTGTGACCGAATGTTGCCAGTTGCGGATAATTCTTGGACGGTGGATATGCACTACTGACGAGCTCTCATTAGAGTAAAACTCGAGTCTAGTGCTTCCGAGTGTATGGTTGAATCGATGAACTGAGGATTGTGCGTGAAGTTGAAGTCCAAAGAATAGTCAGTCAAATCAATCAAGTCCCGCAGAGCTTGAAATCGTTCAGGATCTGGTTTTACCCTATCATGTGATTTCGTATCCCAAGAGTCGAAGATGATGAATTCAATCTTGGTGGCGAAAATGATGGTTTTACTTTCGACGAACGTTTTGTTGTATCGACGTCAGGGATCTCTACCGTTGGTAGAAAGTTGTCAGTGTCACGCCATTGGATCCATTGCTTGGCTACTATAAGAGAATGAGGATCAGCGTCAAAGCATTCGAGGCGTAACAGAGACTCCATTGTAAGAAGACTAAATTGCTTTATACGAACAATGCAGAGTAATCAAGAGCAGGAGTCTGGCCAGATGTAGCCTTTAATCTTCTAACCACTGTAGTAAAATAGCTACAATGTGAGAAATAAAAGATTAAATATAGTTTAATGTAAAATGCGGTTACACATGAGTTTATGACAGGCATTTTGAACAAAATCTCATATTTTTATTTTGACACCGGTTACCTAACAAGCATATCAACTTTGCGGAGTAAAAATAACTGAATTATTGCACACGACTGAAAGTATGCTCTGTAATATTGTTATTCATACATCACAATATTTGAGAAGTAAAATGCATGCAAGATTAGTCTGTTGCGTCATTCAGCAGAAAAGAGAACCAACCGAAAATCCACTGAATGCCTGTAAGCAAACTGAGCTGGAAACCGGGAGCACAGTCTTACCCATGCACCGAATTTGAATTGAACGGAGGTTTATCAGCATTGGCACTTATAAACGCTAGTTGAAAATGAAGGTATTCAGATTCATAAGTTATTCTCAAAGCAAATGAGAGAAGGTATACTATCAATGTTCACGCATACTTTTCTAAGTTCATGTGAGAAACGCAAATTATTAAAAATGATTCCCTATTAATTTTACTCATTTGAACTAAAAGTATTCCACCTTGAGCGCTTATTCGCTACTGTGTGTAACTGGGTAAATGTCTAACTAAAGTTGAAAATACTTTGTTCTAGTAGTTACCAAAACGTTTTTCACAATGGATGTCAAGTATTTTGTATCTAGAATGAAATAAATAAAAAGTTGTTGTGTTTTACAGTCAGCACCAAACTGACCCCCGCAACCAATTTTTCATACCCTCAGTTGCTTATTTTGCTCTGCAAATCGCTATTGGTAACATTATTCCGAATATCATTGAGCAAATTGTTTTGAACATTATTGAACTGTCGTGATTTGCCGAACACAGTCAAGCAAGCCAACTCAGTGCGATATCTCGCTAGGGCTAACAACAAATCTCCATCTTTGCACATCCATCGTGTTTCCGGCCTTGAATCTAAGACGAGTTCAGAAATTGAGTGTTTTGATTGTAGCAACACTGTCAGAGAGAGCTGGAAAGAGTGAAATATTTGTTTGAACGAGGATCACCTCAAATAACTGCCGATATCAGCAACATACAACAAAAACTATCTTGAATAAAAATAACTTTTGATTGATAAAATTTTTCAAGAAGTTGTGATATATTTACCTACTTTTGAATAATATCTTCTGGTACTCATCCAACTGAGTGAAAGCAGTGGCTGAGAAGAATAAGCCAACTCGAATCGGCCAAAAACATTTCGATCATTCTGGTGCAGTTTAAGAATGTATGTCACCAGTTAATCAGATTACTTGTGTAATTAATGCGCCCGATGGTGTGCGCGTTACTTAAGTGTAAATGTGGCTTGAAATGCTACGCAATTTTGCCCATAGAAGGTACAGAGAAACACACCTAATGTCGCTCCTCAATAAAGGAGTAAACTCGATAGACGCACCAGTTTTTTATCACGGTTATTGTACGGAGCGAAATCAATGCAATTTTAAGCTGTCTCTTTTCAGATAAATAGGAATTCTGCGAGGATTATATCTACTTTATTTTCCGTAAGGAACGGCAGAGCATGAAGATAAGAAGGGAAATCGATGAGATCAAAGCAGCGGTGTGATTTAATTGGTCAAATAAACGACGCTACACCAATTTCAGTTTCAAAAACGAGCCAACATTGCTATGTTTTGTTTAATTACTCAGAAAGGAACTGTACATTACATAGTTGTGCCTTACTCGAGTGACTTTAGGGCTCCGACTATTGTTCCAATGTTCCAAAGATTTTAACAACATTTAGGATGATACATTGAGTTGTTAAACAACACTTGACTGCACACGATTGGATTTCAGGAAACTCGAGCTTAGTTAAGATTTTTTCCTTGAAAAATGTTTCACATGAATGAAATCAGTCTCATTCCCAAAGTACGTTTATCTTAGAGAGTAAAAATGTAACATAAATAGTGATGCTGACTCCTAGATCCTGCACGACGGTAGCCGTCCCGATTGTGCTTAGCTCACCTTGAGTGTTGCTAGGCCANTGTTTCACATGAATGAAATCAGTCTCATTCCCAAAGTAAGTTTATCTTAGAGAGTAAAAATGTAACATAAATACAGCAGACGATGACAAAAGGTTACACTCTGCAGTTATGAAGTGGGAAAATTCCAAATGACACTGGTATCTGGAAATTCACTACTTCGTTTTTTTTTCGAGGGTGCAGTTACACCATGTGTAATTTAAGGATGCAGAAAAATGTTTTCTTTTTGACAATTGTACTATTACATGGGGTATGACCTATATTCAAGTATAGGGCACATCCCCATCCCTTCGTGTTCTGTTCATTCTCGACAGAACTGTCTTTACTTTTGTCTGTAAATACAATAGCACTAGGTTACCACGTGACCAGGCTTTTAAAAAGATTACCCAAAGATCCCTTTGCCGAGTGTTAAACACCATAGTCTTTGGGTGGCTAGATGTGCTGTACACGAGACTAAGGTTTTAAAAGTTGGCGGTTTGTTCCCTTTATGTTAGTTGCTAGATATAATTCAGTCAATAGAGGTGGACGAGGATGATCACATGCTGGTAGTACTCAACCACCGGCTCCATTTTACACAGAATGGCCAACTGATGGTTGCGGAACTCGCGATCATGGAGTGTGATGCGTATAGCCTGTAGACTGAGATATGGTCGTACTTCAGGGACTCTCACTGAATAACAGAGCACTTGAAGTTGCTTTGTCTCATATTCTAAAGAATGCTATTTCACTGGTACATTACTCGTTTCTTTGGTATCCACCCCTTACAAAACCGAAGAAAAACGGTTCAGTACATTATCTGAACTCGTTTGCTCTTTTACACTGAAATCTAATAATCATTTGATAACAACTTTCTGCTGTTCTTTTACCTCTGCTAGCAAACGTTAGCGAATATTGTACTCAGTTTAAATAAACGTGAAACTTTCAGAGCCACCGATACGTGCAACTTAGTATTTCACCTCATGAAAATCCACAATTGAAGTATGTGGAAGGGACAGTTGGTGACATTAGCGAGGTTCAATTGTATTCCGAATCTCAACTGTCCTTGACCTGATAAATTTGGCAGCATTTTTCCCGCAGACGTGAATTGACTCGTTCAAAATATTCATTCAGATAAGTGAGTTTTTATAAACTTGAATTGAGAACAAAGCAGCACAGTGTTGCACAATTTATTTCCGGTAAAATTTACTGTTTTCAGTTCTTATCGAAAAAAACAAGAACAACTAATAGGTTACTGTTACCGTTGATGTGATGCCGGTGTTAGATTTGGCCATCTTTTTACCAAGGCAGGGCTAGAGTTATAAATAACTCCTGCTTGCACGGTTTATATTTCTATCGTTTTCTTGCAGTCGCCTGTGCGAACTAGAGCAACTGAAAGTTTTGTGTGAGCAAACCACACCAACGGAAGGTGTAACCTGCTAGTTTATATTATATTTTTAGCCTGCAGTATTTAATTGAAGAGATATAGTGAAATTTTCCGAAAATCAATTTTACATGTTTATATCAGGGGAAAGATGTCACGATTTATATGGTCCCAGCTTGTCTTTTCTAATCGCATATCATTGAAAATTGTGATTTATCTATTTGGCAGTGCAAGACTACTCTCTTCAATAGACGCCTCAATGTACTTATACCAACAATGTCTTTCACTGGTTTTTCAAGTAGCTTCCACTGAGAAAATGCCAAGGTAGTGTGTAAGTAACTTTAATGTGACCTATCGGGGCGTTATGTGGTTCGCCGCTTCACGTCCCGGGGCCTAGGTGACCGGTTTCCATCAATGAACAGCAGCTGCTCGTGACTATGGGGTTTACCCCGTCTGCTGTCCATCACACTGTGCGTATTAAAAAGAGTAGCGTAAAAATCAATTTTATTGACTTTGTGCTGATTTAGGTCATGTCAAGTGACGAGTGGACGGACGTTTATTGAAATATGATCACTGCCCTTAGAGGAGCATCTCAGACCTACTTCACCTGTGGTCACATGGAGACGAACTGGTTTTGATCGCGCTCTTGGTTGGGGTTGTGTGTGTGTGTGTGTGTGTGTGTGTGTGTGTGTGTGTGTGCGGGGGGGGGATGAACTGCACTAGGCCGGTCCGTGGCCAGGATAACAAATCAGTGTTGTTTTGGTGGCATCAAGTGCGTGTGACGCATGACGTGGAAAACTCTATCAACACTATCCGGAAGTCGTGTTTCTAGCGTGTGTTCATAGAAAGCACTAATCACTATCCTTGTTTCACCGAGGCTCAAATAGTAGGAGGGGCGCTGATGGTGATTACCTGTCCTGTTGGGTGGTTGCATCTTAATTAAACCAATAAAAATAAAAACCAGACCTATTGACATAACTGAACACTACAAAGTGGTACTAGCCAAGAATTAAATTGTTCACAGTGGAGTTATTTCGCCTGCTAGATTTTGCTCTTTGAGGGATAGTGAAAATGATTATGCTGAACATGGAAATAGTCCAATTTTACCTGTAATCACCATTGAGAAACTAAAATTTAAAGAGTCTTTGGTTCGGAATCGTGATGTCCACTTTTTCCTCCGTTGCAATTAGGAAGTATCTTCGAGTATTTCGTGATTCCGTGCAAGCAACTCAGTGAAAAAAGAAAGCAAATAAAGTTGATCAGTGTACAATGTATGCCTGTAAAATGTTCACGAACCTAATTTGATCAGATGCTTATTTATTTGAGGATTCAGTGTGGAACACCAGTACCACTTTTGTATTCCACCTACGATGTCTCAGGTTCGACTCCGATTGTAGGCCAGGAATGGATGATGGTTATTGATACCCAGCCATGCTATACAGTTCTGGTTTTTGAGAACATCTTTTCTTGTTTCTGCGCCACACAAAGTTCACTCTAGGACCGGGAGCTGTTAAGCATTTAATCCCATTCTCAAAGTTTATGGATATTCTGAAGTTCATCGTTTCTAACAGATGCCATTTTTTTAATGAAATTTGTCCTTGACTCCTGATAAATTGGTTTCTGTATTTTTTATCATGCGTACTCCCAATAGAAAGGTTGGACGAGTGCTTTTCTCACACTAATCGGGAAACAGCAAAGCGCTACAATTGTAGCCGATTTGCAAGATACGGACTATGAAGCACTGGATATGCCCGAATCCAAGATAACCATGCCACTGAGACACTTTCGTGTTTGTCGCAAACGAGGTGCATACTCATTGGATCGAGCCACCCCCTCGGTTGCTGCTCTTAGTTCCACAGTACGGCCAACCACGGAAACCGTGTGCAACCCGACGTATCAGATTCATTTGAGTTCTCGGATCTTATTCGCTAAGCGTCATTTGTGGATTGGATTCAATAATGTGCACGATCTGGACACGTGGTATCCGGTTATACGGGGCTTGGTCACGAAGCGCTTCAAATTGCCAAACGCTGTTGATCCAAGGGACCTCAGTCCGGCTGGCTCGGGACTCGCTTCCTCGCACACCTCAGAGCTGGATCTGTTAGCGCTTGCTCTACCATCAATGCACGAGAATGATATTTACGAAAGCACTGTAGAACAAGGTTAGCATTCGTGTTTGCTCTGTTAATAAATATTGAGCAAATTTATCAGGTTTAACGAGATGTGAGTTCCATTGTAGTAGGAAAATGGTCGCTTATTCGAGTATCTAACATCACTTTCACCGTAAAACTTTTGATGGATTTCTACAGGATATAAATTAATTCCAGATGCTACAATCTACTGTGCAGCGCAATTAGAAAATAAGCTTTCGCACGGGTTGATTTGTGATTATGTATGATATATGCAAGTACTTGCATCATGGATTATTAACGGTTGAAAAACTTGAAAAGACAACCACCGTTTGGTTCTAGCCAGTCTGGAGCCTGAGTGATAGTTAAAAGGCAGTCGATCTGTCTGCAATGGATATGATACCGAAGGTGCATTCCATCAATGAGACGAGATAACAGCTTTTATTTAACGATCCTTTCATATCACTCTAACTTGCAATGCTTATCTTAGCAGAATATGTGAAGTCCTAAACCACCACACACGTGAAAGCTCGATTCTCGCTTACGATCGTGCTTGAGGGGTATTTATCGGACGTGGAAGGATAATAACCTGCTTTTCTGCGCACAGTATTCATGCTGTTTGTATCAGTGTTTGCTAGGCGGAACCTTACAAGTTGAAAACTTATTTTGGGATTATTTTATTTGGCAGATTGTTTGATATTTGAATTTTGAAAACATCATTAGATTCTGGGGATTCTAACTCATCTACGTTGGCCATCCGTTTAAATGATACTCATCGAGTGAATGTTTTTTCGCAAAACTGTGAATTGATATTGAGATTAAACTTATTATATTGCAATTTTCCTTGGATATGTGAGTGAATAGGCTTGTCGGATAGAAGTTCACGGGTAACAGGACATCACCAAGTGATTTTGAGTGTTGAATGTTTAGATTAGCCCATTTGATTTCCCAGGCACCAGACATTGACTTGGGTCTTAGTGTCTTCTGGTTGCCGATTTCACTCTCTAAGGAGTTTATTTCGTTTGCAATATGAACGTTTTGTGTGATTGGCGAGAGGAACGTAAAAATATTACGTCCTGATGACGATCCCCGTCAGACGCGAAACAGCTGTCCAGTGACTTTTGTTGGTCGTAATAGAAATATTTCACTCTCAAAGGTTTAGGTTTTACCTCACCGTATCAACGAAATGCTAATCTGGCACTAGGTTTCCAACCGCAAACCGTTGGTGGAAACAAAATTTTTGTTGGAAAGAAGTGATTGAGTTATAGCCACGGTCCCCAACAATTTTTATCATTCGCGCAGAATATCGTTTCCATCGTTTGACAAACATCGAATCAGAAAGTTTTAGCATTCTGATAGTATGAAACTCGCAAACAAACGCAAATATCCTCTTAAGAAAAATAATAGTTTCACATCGTTGAGTAGTGGTATGTTTTTTTTGACGTGCGTCGAGGATGGGTTGTATGGATCGGAAATGAGCACTTGGGAGTGTCTTTCAAGGTATGATTCAATTCTTTTTGCTCTTTTACGCCCAAATATTTGGTACCGAATCCACACTAAATGCAGCAGATGAACTTTAATCTCGTGCACAGCGATATACATTTATTAAGCGGTGGGGTTATTAAGCACTGAGCGTTTCTAAATTTGAGTTTGGAAAACAGCCGATTTTAACCGTTGTCAAGCTTATCAGTCTCATCGTGATTGAATGAATGACAAAATTTGACCATAGGTTCACATTGACTGACACCAAAGTGACAACTGCACTCGTGGATGCCTCTGGATGACTATTTTCAAAGCCCTTTACGTAACAATTAAGTAAATCAGCTGCCTTTGCGATAGCAGGGCAAACGCATTCTGCATCATCATTCAGATAATACACTCACTAAGAAAATGCCAAAAAATCATGGATCGATCTGTTCACTTTTCGTCACAAATGATCGATTCCGTCGAACATTCGTGTCATGCTCAGTTACAGCTAGCTTCAAATTCTTTTCTTCACTAAATTTTATGATTCATAGATTATTCGAATCTTTCTATTTTAAATACCAATTAGAGCGTTTAATTATTAATTATTCACTTGAGCAGCAAAGTAGCAAAACGGTTGACTGAATGCAGCATCACCAAAATTATGATGACACTTGTGTTTCTAAGTACATTGAAGATATCCCATTAAGTTGGTTTATGAACGCAATTAGTGCCTCTGGGCTGACTGTCATGTACACGTGAAATCACACACTGGAAAATATTTGGGCAATAGGGAGTTGTTTCCTCATCCTCAAGAATTTAAATCCAACAATATGTATACTGCTAGCTCAAAGGCGATGACATTTCGATATTTTAGTCCTTCGGATTTATGTAAATTCATATCTTTTGAATGGTTGTATATTACATCCATCATTTATAAGTTGGAGAACAGTGTGTGGTAGCTATACCTTTTTGTATTTTTTAATATCAGCTCTAAAACAGACTTAAGATGTTTTTACGCTTTCTTTGAGCGAGTAAAAACTTGATTCGATGAAGTAAAGTGAAGTAACTATCGAATAACACACTCCTAATTGATTTGAAGTGACCATCCTGTAAACTTCACATTCGAGGGTAATCCACAGTTCCGTCCACTTAACGATAAACTTGCAAAGCTCTAAACTAGAGTTTCACTCTGATTAGAGTTTGTCAGTTGTGCTTGCCCACCAACCATTCGCAAATTTTAACTCAGAACCCTTCGCGTGGAGGGTGCTTGTATTAGCTCAGTGTCATCGCTGACCTGACAAGAATCACCAATTCACATTTACTCAGTTATCGTGTTCAACAACATTCAGCCGACTAATTCAATCAGAAGTCACAAAGATGTGTTCTCTGTTTACTCTAGTTTCAAGCTTCCCGTCAAATCAGATCTTTCATGCATGGTTAGACAAATGTGCTCAGAAAAACCTTTAAGCTGGACTTCATTTCACATTCAACTTACAAACACTTGGTACGGCGGCGACAGGCATCATTTATACAGGGGGTGTCCGGTGTCCTGAGACTGGATGGCTGGTGGATATTCACTGCTGATGAGTTCTCCGAAGAGCGAAACTCTGGTCTCGTTCCTCCAGCTCGCGTGGATGACTGAGGATTATACGTGAAGGTGCAGTCTGAATAGTTGACTAATTGAAACCAGCGTCAATTATCTTACAATACAGATCATAAGTAACTGAGTGAAATCCAGATACCCTTGATTGATTGATATTATTCGCTTACAAACTGTTAATTTTCGCAATACTACAGTCATTTTATTTTTTCCATTTGAACTAATATCTTACACAAACCGGACAATTGAATTTGTTTTGCATTCCAGAAAATTTCTCCGTCATGATTGTCCAAACTGAGAAATCCCGCGAACTGGGACTGAACGGGCGGTACATACTCCGGTTAACACCGACCTCATTTCAGTTGTTGGACCCGATCACTCATGCCATGCGACAAATCTGGCCAATACGCTATGTGCGGAAGTAAGATTTTCTATCCTGACTTCTTTGAACGAATTAAGAAACGCATAGATTAGTGGTTGTTCATAACTTTATTCTGGAAATATCAATCAATTCATATCAAGTATATGCTTTGTGCAACCAGAAAGGTGAATATTCAGTACAAACATAGCAGAAGTATAACCGATTAAACGATCAGAGTTACACCAGCACGATAGAAAGCAAGTATACCGGACTGTCGTCCAGTGGTTGAGTGACTCGTAGATACAAACCCCAAGTCCGATTCCAGATAACGTGAAGTCGGTAATCTACGTGTACTATAAGCAAGCAAATATGTACAAAAAAGCACCATACCTTAAATTGTGGGCCAATCCGGTCTCCACGGTACAAGAATAAGAGGGTCAAGGCGCATAACAAAGCGCCTGCGAAGCGGTCACCAAAAGGAATGCAAACTATTCGCAGAAAAGGGACAATTGAAGGGATAGAAACAGCAATCGCAAGTGCTTGATAATGTAGCGCAGTCATTGGTCAGTGCAAGGCACAGAAACGGTTTATCGGATCAAATGGAACAAATCAGTCCGATAAGCAAATGAATCGAACAATCAAATATGAAGGTCAACTAAAGTGGACGGGATGCTAATGAACTAGAACCAAAAGTGGATGGGGGAACGGATCCAGGGTAATTCGGGTGTAATGACGCACGAGATCGGTAAGCGTGGAACAACGTGAGTTCAAGGACGATAAGGGTAGATGACACACAAATGAATGGGACGAGGAATGCTTAGAGGCGGTATGTGAACAATAACAATAAAGTACAAAGTGTGTCGTCGGACCAAATCGGGTATGATGATGGGCAAAGTACGTTCGAAAATCATCTGTGTAATGGGTCTCATGGGTGCACAGTTAATCAAACTGGACCGGAGCAAAACATAAGGCGTGATTAATTTTTCCAATCAACTCAAAACACTGCCCCACAAATTCATCACGCCGGCTCGACACATCAAACATTGCTCAACCATGGTTCCCCTATCTACCTAACTACCCGTACATAACCTATCTGCCGCTGGCGCCAGGGTATTCTTCGTCGGCTTCTAGAGAACAAATCTTCCTCATGTCTCTGATCAAGGCTTCATTCGCCATTCTTACTCGTACTGTGCCTATTACTTCATCTGCACTGTTCAGTAATTCTCCAATTCTTCCCAAAGGTCATTTTCCATGGGGATAATCCGAACTTAGTGGCAGTACCATGTCACCAATCTTCCAAAGTCATCGGGGTCGAGTCCAGCGCTGCCTGATTTGTAAGTTTGGGATGTATTCTCTCAGCCATCGTCGCCAAAACATACGCGCGAGATGTAACACTTGTTCCCACCGTTTTCTGATTGTTGGCTCGCGATTCTGATTACAGTAGGTATCCTCCAATTGAATAAACCGCAAATGGTTTAGGGTTAATGGTTCATCGTCATGCGAGTTGGCAGATGGAGATGTCAATGGCCTTTTATTAAGAATACTCTCAATCTCTACGAGGAGGGCACAAGGTGACTCGTCCGTCAACTGTTGTTGTTGGCACACACTCACCATTATCCATCGAATCGAGTGAATCAATCGTTCCCAAATACCTCCTCTATGGATGGCGTCTGAAGGATCAAAGTGCCACTGAATATCACGCGTGGCAGTTTCGGCACTTATGTATCTTCCATTGATCCCATTTCCGAACCACATCTTGGAGCTCTTTAAAGGCACCACAAAATTTGTACCATTGTTACTGTAAATGTGGGATGGGCGTCCCCGTCTTCCAGTTAACCTCAGCAAAGTCGAGATAAACTGGTTTGTCGACAAATCTTGCGTTACTTCAATGTGTACTGCTCTTATTTTTAAACACGTGAATAGACAACCATAACCTTTCTCTGCACCACGCCCACGCTTAACAACAATTAGCCCGAAGTAGTCCACTTCAACGTGCCTAAATGGATGCCAGCCTGCTTCGACTCGGGACTTTTGTAGGGGCGCCATCGGTTGCTCTGACGGGATTGCCAATACTCCACGACACCGTACGCAGTTCTTTAAGAGGTGTTTTACAGCCTTCCCTCCATGAATAATCCAAAATTTCCTTATTAGGACGNTGCGCAGCATTGGTCCTGTTGTTCGTGTGTTGGCAATCGGATGTTTACTATGGAGAATCATCGGGTGTTGTGCACTGTCATTGAAACTCGTCAAGTCCAGTCTATCTCCAACACATATTACCTCGTTCAGCAATATTGGCGACAGTCTTTGAAAGAGAACTGGAATTCAAGAGGTCTCGTTTCCCCGTTACCTGAGGATATTTGGCTGAGAAGGTGTATCTGCTTTGCGTCGTTTTCTCGTTGCACTAACTTGACGATGTTCACTGTGGCAGAGTGCATTTCCTCCACCGTCAATGGTCCCATGATCACGCGTTCAGCCTTTCGACTACCACAACAGTTAAGGCACCAGGTTTTGAAGCGACGAAGCCAAGCAACAGCTCTTTGAAGATGCGACCAAATGGAGTAACTCTTCCGCAGCTTGTCCAGTTCAAGACACATTCGATTCAAGGATCCCGACGTGCGCTTGAGTTCTATGCTATCCGGTACTCTAACCTTTATCGGATTTGATGGACACATGTTCGGCGTCAGTAAGAGGAATCAAGGTATGTGTAGCCAGAAGTAAGAGTCCCACTCTTTGACTGTTCCTCGTAAAGCTAGATCAGCTGGATTCTGTTCCAAGTTCACGTATCCATTGTTCAACGTTTGTGTGTTCGTGTATGACTGATACTCGGTTGGCCACGAACGTACAAAATCGAGTGGACTCGTTGCGTAATTAGTAGAGCACGATGATTGAGTCCGTCCATAGAGTAACGTTGTTTAGGGGAACATCTATTTGTTTTTTTCAGCATCGAGTATACTTGGGCTGCCAACGCTGCGGCTACCAATTATAAACGAGGAATTGTCATTGGTTTTGGAGGTGCAACTGTCGCCTTACCCAACGGCATAGCATTATGTTTGAATCCTTTATCGTCGACGAAGCAGGCGTAAGCCACGTCACCATAAGCCTTCTCCGAGGCGTCGCAGAATAAGTGATGTTCTGCTAGCTCGGGTTGCTCTGCGAGGTATTCTAATCATTCCAAGGCGATCTAGGGATTCAGACCAGGTCCTCCATTGATATCTTCCGTTGTCGTACAACCCACGACCGTGTTTACACTTTGATTGTAGAAGGCTTTTACCCGGTATAAGCCAAGGAGCAACAAACCCCAAAGGATCAAAAAGAGATAAAATACACGACAGCAAACCCCTTCTCGTTATAGGTCTCTCCTTAAGATTTGAACTTAGTTGAAATTCGTCGTGAAGGGTGTTCCAACTAATACACGTTGCATCGAAACAGGTTCCTCTCCAATTGTTAACAATCCCGAATTTATTTCAGAGGTCGGTAGTATTTAAAAGTTTCGGAAGGCTTGAGATCCATTTGTGGAGATGAAACCTTCCGTTTGACAACAAGTTGGAAATCTTTTGCACAAATAAGGCTATTTGGGTTTCGTTGTTAAAGGCCTTGAGGCAGTCGTCAACGTAGAAACTTTTACTAATTGCTTTGCTGGTGGACTCGTGGACAGTTGGTTTGAACAATGCTCCCACACGCCTAAGCGCGAAGTTGGCACAAACGGGCAGGATTTCGCTCCAAAGTGGTGGGCGATCATCGGTTGGCAGTCCATATTCCCATCGGGCCATCAAATAAACCTGAAGGCTCCCTTCTCAGGTCTCGGGATACGTATCTGCATAAAAATCTCTTCGATGTCCAATGCTACCGCCACTAGGCTCCATCGAAGTCTCAAAAGAACCCCGGTCAAGTTCGATGTCAGGTCTGGGTCTTGACAAAGGAAGTCGTTCAGGGAATTGCCTTTGTACTTTGCGGCGCAATCAAAAACCACTCTCACCTTCCCAGGTTTCGCTGGATTCAGAACCGGATGATGGGGCAGATACTAACGAAAACTATCTTGAGCGGTTGCCACAGGAACTTCCTCAATTTGTCCCAAGCAAAGGTGATGATTGATGACATTACGATATCCCTGGGCGAGTTGGGGTTCTCGTTGAAGCCTCGACTTCAGGCTGTGCAATCGGCTGATCACAAAAGTGTAATTGCTCGGGAGTTTCATAGGATGTCCTTTCCATGGGAACCTGCAAGTGTCCGTCTGACATTAATGTGACGTTCTCCACGATTGACAGGGCTTTCCGATCTTCTAAGGACATCGTTTCATCCGAGGGGTTGTAGTCGATAAACTCCCGTTCATACATAGACCGTATCTGTTCCGTCAAAGTACACCGCGTTTGTTCTTTCTGGGTTTCTTTACCTGAAGATCCAAACACGACCCAACCCAATAAGGTTTTAATCGCGTACGGTTGCTTTCTTCCGCCTACCCTTTGCTCTAGGCACCAGTGCGCTTCTGGAACGTCGCATCCAATTAGCAGCGTAACCTCACAGTTTGCTCTTCGTGGTTAATTTTTCAAACAAGTCAATACAGCAAGGATGCAACAAAAACATAATTTACGAAATAAGTGATTTAAGTTCAGAAGCAATGCGTTCCGGAAGAAATCGGGCAATATAAGGCACCATAGAANATAGAAGACCTCTAGATAATAGTGTGAGAAAATCTACAGTGAGAGTGGGATCGAGTGGAAGAAGAAGACCCACTTTATGATATCTGCAGGTGACGTTTGCAAAAGACTGTTCGTTACCTTTGTGGATAAAAAGTGACACCAGTTTGCATGTTGTGAAACAATAATGTGACAGAATCTCACGAAATATCCTTCTACATCTAGATACCTATTTTAAGGATCTGAAAAGGAGCTTTTCAACCTTCTTGAGTATTCCCGAGAACAGGGGACCGGTGTAGTCAAATAAGGCAAAAAGGAAATGAGAGGCGGAGACAACTTTCAAGCGTCGGAGANTCTAATCTTGCCAAATGCAGAAATAATTTTATCAGCCCACCGAGATAACCCACATTTATGAGTTGGTTAACGATGTCATCTTAAGCGTTCAGTAAGAAATAGCTTAGCGCAAGGGTTCCCTCTGAGAAGTTAAAACAGCATGGCTACGCATTTAGGAGAATTGAGAGTTAAGTTTAGTGCAAGTGGGCAATGGTAAAAGTTAAAAAGCACAAAATGAAGGGTAGAAGTCGAAGAGGTATCAGTTTTGGGCATTTCGAACGCAACATCGTTAGCCTATTTACTAGTCAAGGAATTTCGGTGATTAGGTATAGCTGAAATATAAGTGGATAGAAAAACGGGGACTAGATGGTACTTTGTAGTAATCCTAGCGTTGATATCGACCACAAAGAGATGCGTCCGTGGTAATGTGTAAACTGCGAATGAACTGTTCTGTGATTACCACAGTTATGGTGTACGATGTACCACCGGAAGACAATACTTATCAACTTATACTTGTCAAAACTATGAGAAGCGCCAGTATAGAGCAAGATTTCTTGTTTCCATCTAGCGCCAATCGAGTATCATGAACCAGAGAACCTAAGGGATTCAAAGTAGAATGAGAGCGACAGCACACAAGTTGGTTTAGATTCTGCAAAATTCAACTGAGATGATATTCCTTGAAGGAGTAACTTCTATAAGAGTCTCGACACTACAGACGTACCTGGGGTGGGAACGAATTTTGGAGTTTGTCTTTTGGGCATCAGTGTGAGGAAGGTAAACATCCAAATATCATATACAGCTCCGTTTTTCAGGTACTATTTAAAAAGGATAGTGGCATCCAGCGTATGGAGACCGGGCGCTTTTATTGGATTTGAGAATCAACAACTGTTTCAGAACATCATGTTGTTGAATGTTGAAGGCTTGTATAAGGCTGAGTTAGGTGATTGTGCTGTCGACGGACAGCTCTGTCTTCCTGTTGTTGGTTTCTTTATTAACCGTTGGAATTAGCTCCTCATATTACACGCTTTTCCGAGATAAGATTAGGGATTGGCCACTCAATTGTTCGGTGGTGTTTCAGGTCTCGCGACGGGTTTTCTCGTGCAGCAGTGTGCAAGTGTAAATTCGGTATTTTAATTTATCACATATCTGTGTTAAATACTTTTTATAATGTTTAGACTAAACAGTTAAGCTGAAATGCACGTTGATCATTGACCATAAGTTACGACTTCACTTGCTTTAAAAATCGTCCATTCACTACATCTGGAATTAAACTCTTCAGTATTCTACTCTCCTTACCACATATAAGAACAGGTCCTTTCTTTGCTGTTTTATATTTTGTTGGTTATAAACCTAGGTTTGTTGTGGTGAATTGCTCCTTAAGTCAGTCCAACACTATTGGTTCTGTGAAAACGTTTGTCCTAGCAAAACCCAAAGCTTAGAGATTCTGAAATATTTTTTATACAATACCTCTTATGCAAATATCAAAATTCGTTTCCTCTGTCGAGGCGAACGCTGATGCGCACGGCTTTGTCCTAGAAGCATTTTCGTAATAAGAAAACCTGATATGGTAATGTGTTCAGAGCAACGATACCACAAGAGCAGCTGTCCGTAAAGTAGAATGGCCTTTCAAGTATTCCACTTCCTACAGAATGAAGCACACGACACATTACTGACAAATGATTGACCTTTGAAAAATACTGATGCACGTGTGCAGTGGTTCACGCACTGTCAGTCACTCAAGGGAAGCGGAAGGGGGAGAGAAGTATATGAGAGAACGGATTCGTGTAACAAAATTCATCCAATTAGTATTGTTTATCCAAAAAGAAGATCGTTTTGATCGAGTTCATATTCCACTTTACCCGAACAGAGGATGCATGGATTTGTAACAAACTATGAACTAAAGATGGAACAATACCCATGGTAGGTAGAAGTTAATATGTTCCATTAAAATGCAGAATATCAAATTAGGCACACAACACAAGTTATTTGACCTCTAGTAAATGCTCATCGCCCATGAGAAGAATTCTAGTCGTGTAATATTTTGTTGTTTTCGCAAATCATATGTGGAGATAACCTTTAACGGATTCGTGCAAGCTAATCAGATAGACGCCAATCAAACCGCTCAAAAATCGATAATTAGACGCACGTTCGGTTTCGTTGATGCATCTCTATTACCTTCTGTATTTCGTCTCTCTATTTCTCTCTCCACACACACACACGTTGTTCGCGGAGTCACACGGTATATTAGAGAACAGTCCCGAAGAATATATTCAAAACAGCGATCCTCGCAGAGCATCTCAACGCCACACTGTATTCAGGTCTGTTGTTGCAGACTTGGAACAGTTTCTATTTGATCTTTGCATTTTACCTGTGTCTAGGTTCGCTTGGCTAGCGTTACACACACACACACTTACGGACACAGCAAGTTGAACTTGCGAATGCGGATACGGACGCTTATTTACATACATCTCATTTGTACTCTCCAAGACGAATTAGCACCTCATCCCGCTGGCGCTTGTGTGCGCGTCCGCACACATTTTGTGCCCCCCCTACTCTGTCACATACATAAGCAAACAGTCCACCGTCAGAAAACAAAACAGCTAAAACCTTCCGGATGATGATGATGATGATGTGGATGATGATGATAGTGATGATGTCCTCGAGGCCTTGTTGCTCAAAAGCAAACTAATTAGCATGCACTGTGTTCGGCAAGCAATCTTCTTAGCAGTCGAGTGACAGAAGAACTCCTCAATAAGCCTATTGACCACCGTCACCGTCAACCCCCGCACCGTTTGCGACCATGTAGACACAGCCTCTATACCGGCTCTTCTATCTTGAATGGATTATCCAAGAGATTCGCTATTGTTGTTGTCGTTCGGTTTATCAAGCAAAACAGTTCCACCATGCGGCATTCATTGTTTTGGCTGGCGCCTAATGTATATAGGTCTTTTTGTCAAGAAAAGGCTTTTTGAATAAAATCAGTTTCGCTTAAATAAAGCCAAAGAAATGTTTTGTTGTGATCAGTTGGCTAGGCGGTTGGCCTTTGTCGGTGTGTGTGTGTACGTCGGTGTCCTTGGTGCATGGGCGTCGGATGTGTTGTTTGGAAATTTGGCACAGTGTGATAAAACACACGGTCTCTTACTTTTCTCTTCCATTGACCGATAGGTAGCGCGTCGAATTCGTCGAATGGGGTTCCGATAAACGGCCAAGGTGTTCATTGTGTGAGTTGCTTTGCGAACCGTGCTATGGTACTCGCTCAGATTTACACCAATGGAATCGGGAAAGACAGCGTAGCCGACACCAGACAGATGTTTAGAGTACCAACTGAGATTGGAATGGTT